CATATTTATAAACAATCTTATACCTGTGAAATTAAAAGACAGAATTCACTACATTGCATTTAGGCCGAGAAGCCATTCGGATTTTTCAGTCGTGCAGGACGGGAGGCTTGGCAAGGAAAAACATATCATCGTTCGGATGAGACGAAAAACCAAGGCCCCGTGTACACGTTGACGGGAAATCAAAGAATTCGGAAAAAGAGTAGGTTCTCGAGCCTCGCCGTGTCGTCAAAATTACTCTTATTATAGCACACTGCATATACCCGGTTTTATTATCCCGGTTTGTGCAGATACGTAGGACGTTCAACCTCGTTGCATTTCACTGCATAAAACGAACATTTCAGTATAGTTGTGTAAAATTAAGTTTAAAACATATTTTGCAACAGAAGAATATTTTATTCTTTAATATGCTATTCACAAGAACAAGGCGTTTGTAGTTCTGTCAACAGGTATAATTCTTTTTATCTTACAGGTAAAAGGCCAGTGAATGTTTATCCATCATGGCTAGTTGTAAAGCATTTGCGTCAGAACAATCAAACAGTTATCTTGAATGGAACTGATAACTATGCAGTCTATTTGTAGGCTATTTATCGTCCTTTAATATCGAGAAGTTTCTATTCAATATGTCCTGTTACATATATCTCAAGTAGACTATTTACTGATATTTAAGAGTTAGAAATGTCTATGTAATTTATAACAGCTATTTAGTACTGACGTTTCTTCTACTTTAAATACATTTTCAATGGGCTTTCTACATTTTGACATTTTTGTAGTTTCTTTTTGTAATTTTATAATTGAAAATGTTTAAACTAAATTATACGCGTATGATTCACCCTTTCCCTTCCATTTATGTGTAATTTGACCCTCAATTGAGTTAATTACTAAATTGAATAGTATATTTGTATACCATTTGTTTTTATATTCCTAGTATTCCCATGGCTTTGAATCACGACGGGCGACGAGAAGAACACCGGAATTTTCTTACAATTTTCCTCCCGGGCTGCCGAGGAAGGTGTTATCTAGTCGTTCGAATGGGACGAAAAATTGGGTACACACTGGTGTACACGTTATAGCAGAAGCCTTGATATTTAAAATTAGATGATGAGTTGATGGAAACGCCGCTGTCCAGGCAAAATCCCCCCCCCCCATCCCTTAGCGATGTACATGTAAGCATAGAAAAGACGCTCGTACGTGTCGTTGCTTAATTGGAATTTAGTTCCATCTATAATTACAAGACGGGAAAGGACCGACTGGCGCTTCCAAAACATGCGGTGTCCCTTTGTTTGAACGATAATAATACGTGGAATCGTGGACTTAAGGGGCTCTAGGTTACCTAGCTAGATTTATCTTGAAGCGATGTCGTATTTTCAAAGTCCAGCCTATCGTTCGATGTATCAATAACTAACAGTGAATGCAAATTTAATGAAATGGGTTTAACGTCTTATTGTTCTGCTCCGACTGGGCAAACAAAGACTGGCATACGCCATGGCATGTATGGAAAATGTGCTCGGAGCGGCGCCGTGGCCTACTTTTATTACAAATTCCAGCTGTCAAAGGTTTTTTTTTACGCGCACGATAACTTGTACACGGGCCTTCCGCCCTCCAACACGGGGAAAGCACTCTGGAAAATTCCGATGAACTTTCTTGGCCAACGCTGGACCTCCTGGTTAGCGATTCAGTAAACCACCGCGGCTGCCATGTATCGTATTGACTTTAGTTAATAGGTTGATAAAGTATCCATAATCAGTGATTGATGATATACAGCTGAGTAAATATTGAAAAATCTGTTGATGAATATTAAAGATATAACAATACCAGTACACTTTAAAATGATGATGTTCAAATTAAATATTTAGAGAAAACATGCACACTCACAAAAAATAAAGATAAAAATAAAATACTTTGAATATTCTATAGGATAATAAATATCTGAATTGTTGTATAGCTATATAATCCTAAAGACTGTACCGCTTGCTCAGTGGTGGGGTTTCCCGTCCAGATTTAAACACTCTCTTGTGATTGATCTTGTATGAACGCACTAACTGCTAAATGCAAGTCTGAACGACGGGTTTCAGTCGGGACTGTCAATCATTATGCAAAAATTCCCCCTCAACCCCTCCCCCCCAAAAAAAACCCCCAAAAAACCCTTATGTAAAAGTGTACTGATTGCCTACCTGTCTAAATGTAACAGCTTATTTTTTTTTATCATGTCACTCTGTAAAATAAACCAGGTAAAATGATATACCTCTCACAAGAAATAAAAACATAACCATGCTAATATTGATCTAGGATTAAGTAAAGGTGGCTCTGTATGACGGACAGCTCAGAAGGATCAGTATCAAAACTTATATATAGATTCAATTTATATCGCTTAGTTATGACGTTAACTAATAACTAACGCGCAAATATCAGAGTACGAACGTATTATGTACCGTCTTTGGTAACTCCAATATACAGTTGAAGTTAACGGTCCGTTTTGGAAATGTAATTCACTATTTAGTCATTCGGCGTTACAAATTTCCCATTACGCACCTGCACATTATGACTTCCTGAACCAAACTTCAATATCCACAACACTAGTGGTAGCCGCGGTGGGTTGGACGTTCGTGTTCATTCCCGGTGATTACCGAGAAAGTTCATTTGGGGTTTTCCGGCCCCCCCCCCCCTCGTCAGTGGTGCAGGACGGAGGGCCTGGTAAGGAAAACGTACACATTTGCGTGCACATAAAAGAACCCTTGACAATTGGAATTCGATATACATGTAAGTGGAGGCCGTAGTGAACTGCCCGGGAAAAACTTTCCTCATGGAACACTGCATGACATATACCCGTCTTCATTGGCCCAGTCGGAGCAGTAGTATGTTAATCACCATTTCATTTTTATTTCAAGACAATTATAAAGTGATTTGTTGTTGCCTATAACGAATTATGCAGTGATGAATGATAAAGAATGATAAATAATCACAAAAGATAAACTTAACATAAATTTATAGAAAGAGGTTTCGCTTAATTTAAGAGATTTCATTTTGTCATAAATTTATAACCTGACAAAGATTAAGTGATTAAGAAGGAAGTATGGCTATGGCATAAATTGATGAGCTAAAAAAACCTATATGCTATAATAAGGAAATTACGCTGCAATAATTCAATAATAATCCATTTTTCAAATAAATGTAAATAAACGGATCCGTTCGCGTAATTTTGTTATAAAATATTTACTTTTCCCACATTATGGACAACCAAGACGTTAGTTAACTCCGCCAGCTAGGTTAGGAATTACCTGTTCGCCTCGATTATCCAGAGGTTATCAAATATAACTTTTCCGCACACATTATAGGTGTTAGTCACAGCTGTTTTATATGGCAATGGCCCTTTAAGCCAAACGAGAGCCATTACACCCCTCCCCTTTCCATTCACCCCCCACTTCCCCTCTCTATAACCACTACTGCCATATTGGATTAAGACAATTTAATTAGGGATAGGGGTGGCTGTAAGGTATATACGCATACAACCCTTCTTTACTTCTTGTCAAACGTGAACTAATGGGCAGTATAGTGGAGGGGGTGGATCTCCCCATGAAAAATTTCAAAATACTTAGACAAATATGCGATTTAGAGTGTGACCTGCGTAACGAAGAAGTGAACATCATCAGAAATTGGGGAAAATTGACCCCAGGAGCTAGCTTAGATTTGTCTAGTTGTGCCGAATGGGGGTCGCCCTTACTGTGTGGATTAGAATATCTTAATATTGATTACTATCGACCTGGCATAATACACCCTGTCTTGACTAAAACAATATTTACATAGAATATTAGCATTACATAAAATATAGGCCAGATTATATTCCATAAAGTAATGATATATCTCCTGTGAAAATATTTGTTGTTACTAAGCAAACAAAACCCATATTACATGTATAAGAAAATAGGTTTTTTTTGCATAAACTTGACTATAAAATATGCATAATAGACTATAAAATCCATAGCTAAATCTATAAAGATTTTTATGTAAGGGCCTTTAAAACAAAATTCATAGGATAATATGAAATTATGGTATATATATTTATTTTGTGTACGTTTTTTTTTTGATTATATCACACCCACAGAAATTTTTGTTCCCCTAGCCCTTCTTCCCATTTACAAAATATTAAGTGTAATAATATTTTCTTAAAGATGCATTATGTAAGATTTAGATAAAGAGCTGGTCGTTCTTTTTATAATAGTTCAAAATCTCTGTCATCAGATGTTCTAGAGAGTTGATTATAGGCTTGCCATCTGAATAAATGTCTAAATTATAGTTTATATAACATTTGAAGCCAAAATGAAGACGTGGAAAAGGCCGATTTGGCTTTTACACAATGCATCTTTAATATTTGGCTATGTTTATTTGGTATCTGTACAGAGTTGCCATCCCTCCTTAATTAATTTGATTAGTCTCCAACTTAAATTTAAAGTTGACGAGACTCATAGGCCTAATCCATTCCATCAAATAAGCATGGAAAGCTGAACCTTTTATATATCCACCAGCAAACCATACCATTAAACAATCCTATCAAGTTCACCTTAGAAATTTAAACATACATTATGCAAGAGCTAAATCTGTCTATTTCAAGTCTTTCTTTAGGCCTGAAATGTTATCTAAATTATTAATTAGACATTGATTAACCTATCCAGGCCATAATCAACTCTAGATGGCAGCGCTAGCCTGCGATCTTTAGTGGATTGTAAGCCGATTTACTGCATAACTTTCCTTCTCTAGTAAACGATTAAATGAATAATCGAGGCTATGCTGTGTATCGTACTGACTTTAGTAATGATGAACGAGGCTTATGGGAATTTCAGTCGCTTAGTTCTCGGTTCATAGTGGTTCAATTTGAATGAAATTTTCACCAAATTGCCTTTACATTATCTAGTTTTTAACTATTATAGCGAGAACTGGCAACTCGTTACCGAATCTCCCATAATGTATCTTTAATTAATGGGCATAATATATTTTTGTCTTTCTAGGGGTGATATCGAGAAAGCAGATTATCTAGGATCTACAGCACTCCATCTGGCGGCCAGGGGCGGTCACTTGGATGTAGTGTGTTTTCTGGTGAATTGGGGATGCAACCTTTACGCCATGGACAATGATCAACATACAGCATTAGATATAGCAGAACTGGTGGATAAACCCGATATAGTCAAATTTTTAGATAACGCCATAGCTCAACAAATGAGAAAAAACCCAAAGGTAAGAAGCAGTTTTGTTCAATTATATAACCGACCTTTGTTATAGTATTTAGTGTACCGCACACCATCGACTGTAAATTCGATACTTGCATATCAATATATATTCAAGGGTTATATCCGAAGACAGAGACTTTGATTTTAGTTAAACCGAAAAGGAATTTGTGACAACACAATGAGTAACGAATAAGAATTTTAAAATCCCGAACATAATTGATAATGTCAAATCCCCAAGCAAACTCTAGCAGCCGATAATTTACGAACCAGAATTCTTAATTTTTAAACAGCGAGCAAAATTCTAGCAGTTGTATTTTTAGGTTGAACATTATCCCAAGATATGGAATACAGTCTAGCAGTTGTATTTTAAGGTTGAACATTATCCCAAGATATGGACTACAGTCTGCTCTTTAATCGGATGATGGTGCTATGTCTATGCACAATGCACCCCCGAAAAGAATTGCCGTCACTGTAAAATAACTATTTTAAAATAGAGCCCAAAGTTTAATTTCAATATTGATGTATTTTCGAAAATAATGTACGTGGGGCTTATACTGGGTGGAGTTAACTTTATATAACAACCGGTGACTTACGAATTGGTATTTTCAATTTCACAAGCAAACTCGTAGCAGCCGATAATTCACGAACCAGAATTCTTAATTTTTAAATATCGAACAAAATCGTAGGAGTTGTATTTTTAGGTTTAACATTATCCCAAGAAAAAGACTAAGTGGTGCTATCGATGCCATTGCAAAATGCGCTCCGAAAAGGAATCGTCGTAACCAGTAAAAGAACTCGGAGTTCAATTTTAACATTGATGTATTTCCTGAATTACGGGTGTGGTGCTCATACTGGATTGAGCTAACTTTATATGACTCTGTTTGTAACAAAAGATGAAACGGTTGTATCTACTATATCAATTATTATGCGCCCGTCAGGCCGGTATGGGGTCCTTACTCCGTCTCCGTAGCAGCGCAGTAAGGACACTACCCCGGTCTGACAGGGGTATTATACATCACCAAGTTCCTTTGCACATTCGTCTTTATAAAATACGAGACGCGTTGTTAAGTGATGTCCTAATATCTTTCCTAAAACAAGTAAGTGGTGCTTATTATGGCTGAAGTCAACGTTATGACTTAGTTGTAATGGTGGGTCAAACGGCTGAAATGTCAGTATCTATAATACACCGCCAATTTTCCAATTTACTTGGCACACACGTCTTTATAAAATACAGACGCTTTGTTCTGTGAAAACACGAAAACAATTCTTATTGACAATGTTAATAATTGTTCTTATCATTTTTAGAAAGTCCTCAAATTAAAAGAAGACGCCATCAGGGCATCAGACAAGAACCGGAAGTTGTACGAACGTCTTCAGGAGGAAGCTAGACGGAAAGCGGAGAAAGACCAAAGACGCAGAGAAGCGGAGACTAATAACGAGTTTCGACCTCCAGGAAAACAGTCTTTTATAAAAACATTAACCATGAGAATCAAAGGTAACACGTACAAAGGAAAACAAGGTAGTGTAAGAAATCTAAATTATTCCAATATGGCCGGCGTTGCCAAAAAAGTCTCACAAAGGAAATCAACAACGTCGACTGAAGATGGATTTAAAGTGAGTGAAATGGATGATAGTGGCAACAGAACAGTCCGGTCATTGAAAGGTGACCAAGGTATCCGGGGGAAGTCATCGGAAGTTATGTACATGACCAATCGCGAGCACCCTGGTGCTGACGGGTCCTCCAACCGACCAGCATTACATAACGTGTTCGGAGTGAAACCAGGTGCAGCGTGGAAATCCAAAAGTGAGTCCGATCTTTTGTTCGATTCGGGGGTTGAGGATAGCGCATATAGTGACCCAGATGAAGATCGTGACGGGCCCGGGTTATTTAATAGACCAGGGTTCGGCAACACGGCTTTTCTTGGCAACAGCGCGTTCATAAATACCATGATGCATTCTTTTGAGACAGGTAGTGAACCAGTTCTAAATGGCAACACAGATTTGGATGACATAGATTCGAATAACTTCGCGCATGGTGAGCGACATAAACACTCTGAAATGAATTATCTCCCTTGGGATCAAGACGAGGTAGAAAATCTGGACGATGACGAAGACGAGACGGAATATTCAGCTTTAGAAACCTTTTTAGTTGCTTCCGGATTACATAGTTACATCCCTTACTTCACGCGAGAAGAAATAGATTTAGATATCCTCATGAAATTAACGGACAATGAATTAAAAGAACTTGGCTTACAATTCGGTCCAAGGAAAAAGCTCCAAGAGGCCATTAGCCGACGTAAACAATACATGGAGGCACCACGGTGTATCTCGGATTCCTACTTATAGAGTATCTGTGATTGAACTAAATGCGAATAGATGATAAAATTTAACAAAGATATAATATTTTTATTTTTTATAAACAATATATAAATCATATGCAATTAATACTGTGAATATGTATGTGACCGATGAACAGATAATTTATAAATATATTGTATTATTATTAATATTATTATAGATGATAAACACGACACTGATAAGATTTCTACTGATTTTACAAATTTAAACATAAATATGTAATTTATTTACCTCAAAGTAAAATAAATCCATTGGGAAATTAATTTGTATAAATCCGGGCTCGATTGTCACTATGACATTAAAGGCTGAATGGGCTTGGGGATGGGTGTGGGGTTGGTTCCACGGCGACAGCCGCCCCATCTTCAGGCCCTGTCCCCAAAATTAGAAGCTCAGTATATTGAATATGTCATCCGCCGTGGTATTATACTAACTGTCACAAAACTGGCAGAATTGACAGGCAGGTCTCGAGATTCTGTCCCATTTCTGATTTTTCAGTTCACGACCTCACCCCCCCCCCCCCACGAATCCCCCTTCAAGGTGCTTGCCCCCTCACAAAAATCCTTGCTACGCCACTTATAGAAGCTACAAGATGTACTAAATATAATATAATAGAGACCCCAGACTTGAATAGACTTGGATATCCCGTCAACGATTGACCATACCAAGTATTAATGTGCAATGAGCTATGGGACATAATTATTCTAGGACTGCTGCCTTCTCTGTCTGCGGTAGAAGAACTCAGTCGGCCCTATTTGATTTGGGTTGGGGCGAGTGATCTATCGTGTGCGCTGTAGATCAGAATTGGTCATTGGTACAAGATTCGAGTGTTCGTTCCCACGCCTATATGACAAGTGTTTGGAAGATCTATACACAAACCAGTTTTGCTGTACGCCCGTGACAAGTCTCAGTGTTTCAGAACAGTAGTGTCTGGATACTCATGCCTATATACATTATATATATCGGGTCATTTATTCCATTGAAGTAATATTAGTAACCGACATATTGACTTACAAACTGTACAATATGCATCCCGATCTTCCTTTAATTTGTTTATTTATAAAATAAATAAAACGAGTGGTCTAATGAAGACGGGCATGCGCCATACCGTATGCTATGAAAGATGTTGCCCGAACAGCGGCACTACGGCCTACTCTTATTTAGAATTCTAACTGTTAAGTGTTCTTTAACGTGCCCGCCAATGTGTACACAGGACCTCGGTTTTTACGTCCCACCCACCCTGCAACACTGACAAGGGGAAACTACACTGGAAAATCCCGAGGAACTCATCAAATTAAACCACTGGCGTAGCTGATGATAGTATTACTATTTATTTAGTTATTTGTCTAAAGTGAACCAGTTGTTTTTCTATATTACATTACGTGCACATGAACGAATTGACGTCGGTTTTTTGCATCAGCTGAACTGTTGCCTGCCCGATCCCCCGTCCTGCATAAGGGGACACCCGGGTGAAACATCCAGTGGATCATTCTCAGTGAGCCAGAGCCATACTTATCGAGCCACCTTGCCTTCATATTCCATTAGGTGGCAATAATTGAAGTAACAAAAGAGAAAACTTAAACTTTTACCTCAATAAAATTTATAGCTAGTCGTATTACTATCTAAATATCTCAACCGAACGATCGGTCTCTTTTCACCCAAATCAAAGAAATGGTGCTCATTAAAAACTAACGTATAATGCTTTACGTAAGTGTTCTTGATATTTGCTAATAATAGGTCATGTTGTATTTACCCGGTACTCCATGTTGATATAGCTAGCGTTATTTCAATCGGTGGATGTAGAAATGAAGGACGCTAAATCCCATTTTATTTCTATAAATTATAATGTTAAGACATGATGTAAGATGTAGGTTTGTCAAGCAACCTTTTGGATACATATACGTATACATGTATATCAATAACACTTATGCTTACAAACACGAACAACTCAGCAATACTAATATTAGATATCGGACTTTGTCAACTTAGTATCAAGATTGAGAGATATGACGGCCACAAAGCTGGTCAATTACCCACTAACTTATTGACTAGCTAGGTCACGTGACATGTTGCACTATGTTATAACCTCATGGACGGGAAACTTGAAAACTGACATTTGATTAGTCAACACATAATAAGTGGATGTACTAATATCAGGCTACCATATAATTGTGATGTGTTACTATAAAGGAACAGATTAAAATAGTAGCTCCCTTTCGGTTCCACAGGGCAGCTAATCTGTGCATGTTTGATGTTCTAGATGGTTTTAAAAACGATTAATCTGGGTCTGTTTTGACGTTCTGGCTGTTTTTAGGAACATGTTATCTGTTTCTGTTCTCTGGTTCTGATTTGTTTAAAGAACATCTAACCTGTCTCTGTTTTGAAGTTATGCTTGTTGATTTTTTTTGCAGAGCATCTAATCTTTGTCTGTTTTGAGGTTCTGGTTGTTTTTAAAGAACTTCAAATCTGTGTCTGTTTTGGATTCAAGTTATTTTTGCAGAACGTCTAATCTTTGGCTGTTTTGTGGCTGACGTTATCACAATTGCTGTCAAATCTCCACAGTGTTTATTATACAACAATGAATCGCGATAAGAGCAGGGATAAGAATATGTCGCGGACATTTATTGGAAAACGGGGATGTTGTTTTATATGTGTATTCATATTTCTTTCTATGATAGTCGCTGTTTATTTAACTTACTTCCGACATCCGCCGGCTGACGAGCTGCTTCGTATGAACAACCACAGATTTTCAATGGATTCATCTCATAATGTAAAATCAGAAAATCCGAATGCCAAACAATCATCTGAATCAGATGCAGAAAATGATACAAATGTTGCGGACTTACCCGTTGCAGAAGATAAAGAGAGAGCTAAATGGGAAAAATTTCTGAGAGAGAAAAATTATGTTTCAATCGGAGAGGTTTTTGACAGTTGTGGTAAGCCAAGATTTAATTTAACTTATTCCCCATGACCCGCCCTTGGTTCGTAGCACTTTTTTATCACCAAATACGCCAGCCATCATTCTGATTTAAATAACCCACGAATGGTACATCATCAAACAGTAAAGTCTCGATTATCCATTAATGAATTTAATTATTAAATGGCATCGCGTTTCAATCCATAAAACATCACACGACCATCCGATGGTCTACATCAGTGGCTCTCAACCTTTTTGCCAACGGCACACACTGGAACGCATGAAAAGTAGCGGCAAACCTGGCTAAATATAATATATGAAAAATATTTGAATTTTGCAAAATAAAAACATGGTAAGTCAGACGGCATACTGTAGACAGAGACTAGTCATAGACACATTGAAAGACTCAAACTAAATAAAGACAACACAGTTATGAACACCAGTGAATACTAAATTGGGATATCACGTGGTTTTATGCATTTTCTTAGTCGCCGTTCAAAATTTCGTGGAAAACAGAGGAAGATCTCGCGGCACATGGCACACTGGTTGAAAATCACTTGTCATGTGAATAAACGTCTAATATAGAGGCCAAAAGAAATACTAATCCATTTATCTGTATACCCATACAAATAATCTATTATTATGACATAAAATTATTACAGATGCTAAAAGTAGAAAAATGGTTGGACAGACAATTATGTTGAAGGATGAAAAACACGGAGGAGTCAAAACGCGAACATTTTTAAATTTTACAACAGGTCAGTTACTTATCGTCATGTATAATACATTATTTTCCGATAGTGTACTTTTATTGGTTTGTGGAAATTGATTTAAATAGATAAATAGATGTAGTAAAGATCGAGCCTGGCTGATTGTCGTATATATTTTCTGAAATAAAATTCTAAATAACCTGTATTGCATATAATTGTGTCATGTGTTATACATTTGGCTATCCGTTAATGTACAAATTTCATCGGGGCATTGCTGCTTTCGCGGTAAATAAACCGTTCCAGATGTATTTGAGCAACGGCAGCGTTTAATAAGTTTTGGAAAGTATGGCTGCAAGGAACCTAGACAAACGTTTCTGGCTCATTTGTTGGCTATCGTAATGAAGACTATATTTAAAGCAGCCAGATATTTTGGACCACTTGGTACCTTTAATAGATATACATAATGTAAGCAGTATGAAAAACTTCGAGGAATATTATGACAAAGCAGACTGTGCATAGTGGTTTAAGCCAAAGAGAAATACTTAACTTCAATTTGAATTTTACAGAGTACAATGTAACTGGAGGCGAGTTTTTCATCGACGTGAAATATAATGACAATGATTTATTTGATAATCATTGGGAGGTATGTGGCCTTACGTATTACAATGATGAAGGTGAAGAAGAAGTGCTAGCTGATTGTCCTTACCCTAAAGGATTTCACAGTTACACAAAAGATAGAAAAATCCCGGACTATTTACCAAAGGTATGTTTTTTGTTATTTTATTAATCTATGATACCTTGGCTTTGAAGGAGCCAAAGCTCCATTCTAGAACCTAAAATAGACGAATATGGGTCGAAAAGTGCATATGAATGTAATATGGATGGATAGGAACTAATCTATTTTCAATTTTTTAATTTTTATTGTAATTTCTAATATTTCAGCGAAATATTGTATAAAGATGCGTTATGTAAGAGCTGAAACTGACTATTACAGGACTTTCTTTATATAAATTATTAATTAGACGTTTATTCACATGACAAGTCCATAATCAACTGGTCGTGATTTTTAATGGATTGAAACATGATCGCCATTTAATAACCTAATTTAAAAATGGATAATCGAGAGTTTGTATTTTTTATAGTAACAATGGAAGGAATGAAAATCTAGACTACACTTTTCTTATCAAAGCATTAAACTTCGCTGAGAATAAAGTAATTTGACTGAAATATTTAATATATTCCCTTTTCATTATGTATTTGTAAACTAATATAGCTAGAACTTTCAGCTTTTTATTTAAATATGACATAATGCATCTTTAATGTGATTGTTCAGTTTATGTTTAATGTATGGCTCTTAAAGCTTGGGTTCTCATTGGAATTTGTAAAACCTTGTTCCTTGTCGATATTATAGATCTTTCGCGGACGTGTCAAATCAGAATGACCCACAACTCACCATCATATATTTCCTTCTATTCTTCAGGGCAAATTTGAAACGAATATATGGATTACAGATCAAAACAAGGAAGCTGTACTATGTGGCCGATCAATCTTTGTTTTATGAGCATTTATGAAAATATAATTAAATTATTTAAAATCAGATTTTCAGTTTGATTACATGATGATATGATGTGATATGATGTTAATGGTATCCAATGTTATAGTTAATATCAAAGCTGTGAATAGACGGCGGGACGATTTACCCAATACTACCCAATACCACCCGAATACAACTTCAATATCACCACATACAACCCAATACTACAACATAATGGTGCAAAATTACCATATTACTTGATTTGTTTTTCAAAAATAGTGAGATATATCGTGGGAAATGTACTTGATGATTACTTTGAATACATTAGGAATAATTTTTTGCGTTGTTCTTTGGACTTTCCACATGCTTTTTATGCGTCCACATTGCCGTCACCCCTCTGTGTGTGTGTGTGTGTGGGGGGGGGGGGGCTTATATTCATCTTTAACAGAAATAATATCAGTCCCTGAACCCTATATCTTTGCGCTTACATCAGCTTGCCTCTCCATTTACTAAAGATGCCACAACATGTGCACCATCCAACCCATGTATTGCGAACATTTGCTGTAGACTTTGTTAGAACTATACGACTGGAAACTGACATTGTGCAAGTCACACAAACCATTCATTTATAACACTTGTTTATATACAACATACACACACACATTGTAATTAGGGTTTTATTACAAAATTCAAAAGCGTGTAAAAACTATAATCTTGTATAAATTTGACCCAAAATAAAATATATATAATACCCGTATATAACCTAAGAATAACTATGTATTTTTATTACAAGAGTCAAACATTCTTGCATATATGGTTTATTGTATGAAAATTAAAATATAACGTATTGTAAATTTCTTATTCCAAAATGATAAATAACTACATTACCCCCTCCCCCAACCCTTAATAAGAAAATTCCTCCTCTTCGTATCCTTCTCTATTTGAATAATTTAAAACTTTCTCTATTTCAATAATTTAAAACTAATTCTTTGCCCATTCATCCAAAACCAGTCGTGACTGGTACTTACAATATTAATTCATATCACACAAACAAGATATAGTTGAATTAACACCTACAACATCTTTCAAACACGCTTATTGACAAATATAGCGGTTAAAGTAACACTTAACAACAAATTCTTATTCATAAATATATACATTACATTCACACTTAAAACAACCATAACCCATTCGTATTCACAACATACAGTTGAATTCACAATTAAATTGAAACAACTCTCGCACAAACATACAGCAGAATTCACGTCTGATGCAACTCTCTCACAAACATAGTCACAATTAAGTTAAATTAACAGTTGATGCAACTCTCACAAACATATTATTCCCAAATAGTCGATAAACCAAATACAACATCCATAAAATATGATTTGGCGTTGATTCTGTGTCTGTTAAAATACAAGTTTCTGTTCATCGCCCATTCTGGTACATCAACGACTTCATCTTAAGAAAGATCATCAGCCCAATTAACAAAAACTTTTGTCAAGTTTTCTTTAGCATCGCCACCTAAACCTGTTACTCGAGCAGATCCTACTTGGCTGGTTTTAGTAGTGACATTAAATTTAAAATTGGGAATCAAAGCCCAGCTAGGAATGTCTACGGCTCCTTCATACACAGGCTCTTCAGCCCAGTTGACGACAAATTTATGGTAGATTGGGTCAAATTCTCCAACATTTTCTTGGGCGAAAGAATAGATATGGCGGTCGTAATCTAATCCAGGTATCAATGCCCAGCCAGGGACATCTACGGGTCCATCATACACAGGTTCGTCAGCCCAGTTGATAACATACTGATGGTGAATTTGATTGAAATCATCAGTATTGTCTGTGGTAGAGTAATCATCTTTAGCATGTCGATCAAAATCTAATCCAGGTATCAATGCCCAATAAGGAATATTTGTTGGTTCTTCATATGAGATTTCGTCAGCCCAGTTGATCACTGAATAATGTTGGTTTTGATTTAAGTTCAGCTGACAAGTGTCGTCTAATTCTTCGTCCAAATTTTTAGTACATGTATCTCCATTGGATGATACTGATGATAGAGATGATGATCTTGGAACTCTCATTTCACAAATCTTCTCGTATCCCTGGTTGGATTTCTTATAGTAAGATACAACTGAAAAAGTGAAAACATTTTAAGGAATGAAAATAAAGTAAAATACAAATAAATAATTGACCCTATATAATAACTAAATGTTGAAACCCACTACAAGTACGTAAAACACAGGTCTTCGTGCATAGTTTGGTATTGCACATCAGTATATTGCTTGGCAGTTGCAATCAAAGAGTAGGCGGCGAAAACGCCGCTAACCCCTTCCCCATCCCCGTATTCCACACGTAAGTACCGTACGTTCGTGTCAAGCGACAAGCCGACAACAAATAAATAATTCTAATCATTTTATTTGTGTGATTTAATCAACTGCATGTTGATTTTGATCGTACTGTGAACGGACACCGTAAAAGTGTTCAGGTTTAATACTAATAGCAGTAATAACGGCAGGGTTGATTAGTAACGCGTTAGACTTACTAGAAGTATTTTAAAACTAGTGTTGACCAGTAAAGTGCTAGACTTACTAAAAGTATTAACTGTAAAATTAACGAAAAGATAGTTATACTTACTAGAAGTATTAACTGTAGAGTTGATCAATTCTTCATCAGTTAATGTAACAAACATGCTATTATCATCATATATCATCTGACTTAATACATCACCATAGTCTAAACTACTATCACTATAGTCTGGTATTTCTCTGGAATAAATAATACAAAATAAAAGTAGACGTAAGAGAAAGTAAAATACTCTTTATAATTCAAATTTCTTTAATTTAAAAAAGCAAAAACCGTATTCAAAACATATAACAGAGAAAATCAGTTATCTATTATTTGTTTTTACCTGTTCTCAACTCGACTACGAAAATATTGAAAACTTATTTGAGATTTTAACGGGTTTTTTTCTTTCATTTTTTAGAATTCTTTACAATATAATTAAATATACTTACAATACAGTCATGGTAGATGTTATACTTTCCTATCTGGATTCACAAAAAAACCCAGAAAATATAATTAATTTCAGAGAATTATCACAGAGCGTCTTTCTCTTAGCAGATAAAATAGCTCAATGAAAGAACAATAAGATGACGTTTTACCGATTGTGACGTCATAATTAAAAGACGTCAAAAGTTTTGTTAAATTTCCCCCAAAAAAGAAATCAAGATTGACCTTTGAAGCTCTTTCCCGACACTTATTATTTTTTGTCGAAATTACCCCCCCCCCCCCCAAATAAAAAAAAAAATAAAAAAAATGATATTTCCTAACCGATTCACAGATTATTGTTTTTCCAATTTCAAAGATTCATTCTTTTGTTTCTAATACCGTTCAATATTTTTAATCGAAAAAAAGATAATGCAACCCCCTGCCACGAGAATCTTTTTTTTATCAGCCTTGTTTTTCACGGGACTCGATTTAAGGAGAATCCAGCTTTATCTTATATTCGTCGTTAGTCGCTGTCTATTTACCATCGAAGCCTAAGTAAATTACTGGATTACCTTCTGCAAACTTCTCTTTCCGACGTTTAATCCTCTCAACGTTCTAATAACCGTTAGCCATTACAGCATTCGAGGAGACGGGCTGTCCGTTAGGGATACCCTAACATTTTGTGTCTTGCGCGCGCCCCATGGGTTTTTGTCAGGGAATCCAGTGTATTTCTAGTAAGATTAGGTGTCTCTACATTATATATTGCTATTCTTTTATTGGATATAACAACCCGATAAATACCTTCGTGGGAATCTACCTTTAAAGTAGTGGTTTCAGTTTGATAATGCTCGGAGCTTCGGATGCATGGCTTGAAAACGATTTATGTAGCACAACTGTATGTAAAATATCCATGTCTATATCGAAATACCAAAAATAGTGATTTGCAATCCCGAACCCCACCCCCAATAGCGTTAAATGAACATAACAGTATCTTTAGGCGCAAATTGTTAAAAACAACCCCTATGGACTAGAGTTAAGAGCACTGTAATTAACAGTATAATGGACTATTAGTACATTAAAGAGATGTTGATACCTTATAAGCTATTTCTACATTCTAAGATAATCCACACAATGAAGGAGTGTATGTGTGTGTGTATATGTGGTTGGAGTGGTAGTGTCGGGGGGTTGGGAGGGGGGGGGGTACGTGCAAAAATTCTGGCTGCTGACTCGAAAAAAAAATTACATTTACCTTTTTGGCCAGACTTCTTTTGCAATTGGGCTTGCTATAATAATACGCTAATTAGTTGTCAGCCACGACTACTTTATCTTTTCTGAAAACCCCGTGAATGCGATAGCTGTTACACTTTTTTTAACAAATTTTCGAATTTGGTATGAAGCATTGAGGTCATGAGAGCTGGGACAAACATATCGATAATCAGCATTCCACAACCGCCCATCCGAGAGTTACACCCCCTTTCCCTAAAACCTTGTGCATATCATACAAGGCTGCAGTAATAACAGTAATGGGGTAATAACACAGGATGAATCCTATATGTATCGTTCCGCGACCTTCCGTTTCGGAGTTGCCCCGCTTTCTCCAAACCCTGTAAACACGATAGAGCTCACAGAGAGAAAGAGAGAGAGAGAGAGAGAGAGAGAGAGAGAGTGAGCAGTGAAATATTTTGATAATTTTCCTAAATAAGCAAAATATCAATATGTCAATTTACGTGGTATTCTGCGGGCAGCGTCTCGGTAATAAAGTTATAGATTATATGCGAATCCACACAAATAAGTTATTTTTTCGCCAAACCCTGTAAACACGAAAGAGCTCAGAGAGAGAGAGGACCTTGTGTATAGTTTTATTACACAAATACCTTGATTAAAATAAGTTTGATAATGAAAATTTAATTTATAATCAATTTGATGGTTAGATAATAAGAGGGGTTTATCTATTTACTTTGGGATTGATGCGCATATCGGACCGTAAGCGTATTATGGACAATGATTGTGATGGAACTTAAAATATATGTTTATATCCCAACGATTACAGTTCCTGTCGATATTCACGCATAA